TTTCCAACGAATTTTCACTATAAAGATGATTAAGAAAAATATTAGAATTAGCTATTATAATAATTCAAATATCCTAAATAAATATTATTATTAAACTTACATAATTATTATATTCTTATCTATTTTATATAACATTATTGATACTATTAATTCATAATAATTGTCCTCGATATTAGCATTTTCGTTATAATCATATAAAATTCATCTATTATTTATATTCATCATTCATATCAAAGAATAATCACTAGCCAAATAGTGATTTTATTATATTACAATTTATCATTATTTTTGCTATTACTAGAATAATTAGGTGAGGAATATATGAGGTGATGCATTTGTCTTAATTTTGTTAACCTTTTAAGATATTCGTAGGCGGAACTAGATGCAATATATTAATAATTAATTTCTTAAATGTTGAATATCTTTTTTGATTGGTTCAATGTATTCAGAGGATTCATGTATCTTTCATATTATTGACAGATTCGTAAAGTGATATGTATTCTTCGGTATCAAGGGTTTCTGGTGTTCGGGAAAAGAAACATAAGAAGTAAATCTTGAATTTTTGTTGCTTAGAAAATTTATGTGGTTGCCGAAAAGAAACGTTATTATTTATTAAATAATTCTTATTTTAATTCAATAATTAATATTTTAAACTTTTTACGAGCAAATTCTAAAATTTGAGCTCGGTTTATACAACAACCTCTTTATTATATAAATAATTAAATTAAATTAATAAATTGAAAAGATTAATGATATTCATGTGATTACAGCATTTATTTAATTAGATAAGGGAATTATTATGAATTCAATTTACGCGTACAGAAGGATTTTATATTATAAATATAATATAATATATAAGTAGAAAAATCTAACAATTTAATCATAATAAACTTTGAAAACTACTATTACTAAAATTTAATTGATCCCATCCATCATTATCATCGTCTTCACTTTCTTCTCCAAGATCTTCATCATTTTCTTCTTCAAGATCATCTTCATGAGAATTCATATCATGATAAATAAATTCTTCATCTTTATTATCGTCATTATCATCACCTTGATCATTATCATCTCCAAAAGATCTTAAAATTCGCATTAAATGTTGATACATTTTTGTCATTTCATTATCATCAATTTTTGCCACATATTGAAGATAATTTATAAATTCATCTTCATTTTCATCATCATCTTCTCCATCATCTTCGTTGTTACTATTATTTAAAACCACTGGTACTCTTCGTTCTCGTCGTCTCAAGTTATAAATATCCTCCTTCATAAATTCCGTTGAATTTGAAGCATATAATTTATGTAAATTTTCTTGATCGTCTGAAAGGGAAATAAAACCAAGGATAGAAGCGGAATTTCCATATTTTGATACCAAAGTTTCCTCAACTATTAATATGCTAACTAAT